AGGAACCCTATCACTACCAGAACTCAGCAGTGAAACCCCAGCAAGCCCCCAACAACAAACGAGCTCTGAAGTGAAAGGCTGACTACCTCACTGCGCCACCACCAGCTGTTTTATATATCAGTTAATCACAATGCACAGATGAGGCTCGTTAGTGATTCCCTGCTCAACCCCAACACTGAAGAATCTACATATCTGAGAATGAACACACATCAATCAGCTGTGTGGTAAAAAACTATTTATTGTTCACAGATTACAAACATATATTGATTTGTGTCTGACATCAGAAATATATTATTTTCTTAATTATTCATCAAATCAACAGTGTCAAAGGAACCTAGAAACCTTAACCTTTTAATATTACCTTGTAAGCAGACTTAAACCACGACTTCTCTTTAAGACACAAAACCTGTTTCTTCTTTGCAGCTGAGAGACTTCGTATCGTGACTGTACGCCAACGTTTGATTATGGTTTCAGTTTATAGACACAAACCTCGGCCCAGTGTCTTTATTACTGGCAGTAAAACCCAAGCTCATCGTTTTACCTGGTGCGCCTGGGTCGATCAGTCTGCGCTGTCCACTCACAGACTTACACAATGATATACTTTCATTTATGAGGCCAGTTTTTCCAACTGGAGGAGTCAGTGCAGAATCATCAAGGCCTTTACTCAACAGAAATACAGATATATGTTGCAGCTGATCCTTTACAAGTCTATTACATTGTGCAGATTTCTTTATACTGTTTGTGTTTCACGTTAAAATTCATCTTCACGCTGATATCTTTAAACACTAAAACTGTTCATCTTCACATTAAATCACAACCTCTTACATTTGTTATAGCTGTACAGATATTTAAGTAATTCGACAACAACTGTACATGTTACCAGATTTCAGGATATATAAAACCTATAATTTATGAGGCTGTCAGTATCCCCTGTTAATCTTGTGCTGCTGGTCCAGAAGAGTCTGTTGCAGGCTCACTTTGGCATCTTCAAAATCTGGATTGAGCTTTAATGCTTGCTGGAAGTCACTCTTGGCATCGTCGAAAAAACCTGTAAGATAATAAAAAAACATGTAAATACATAACGAGTGTAAGTTTATAGGTTTGTAATGTACTGCCAAACTGGCTTGTTAGGAGTCAGCACTTCTGTATTTCTGGAACATGTGAGCACAAGCGAATACACAGCTCCACCTAGTGTCTGAGGACTGAACACACCAAACTGACTCCACACACACACATATAGCTTCATCCCACTGGATCAATAATTGCTTTCAAGCCTGAATCTCTGATCTATAGTAAAAAGACATCTGGGGTTTTTGCTAAGAAACAATAACATCAAGATTAAATCTTAATAAAAATGCATAATATTTGTGCAGAAATGGTCAAAGAGAGTTTGTCCGGCTCAACTTACACTGAGCCAGTAGCTCCCAACATTTTCTCTTAAGGGACTTCTATCACTGGGTAAACCGACGACCACTAACATATTTTATGGATGTTTCATATT